GGAGGGAGGGAGGGAAGGAAGGAAGGAAGGAAGGAAGGAAGGAAGGAAGGAAGGAAGGAAGGAAGGAGGGAGTCTTCTCTCTGGGTGGTTGTGGCACATGCCTTTGGGAGGCCGAGGCAGAAGCAGGTGAGTTGTTCCAGGACAGCCTGATCTACAGAATGAGTCCAGGACAGCCAGGGCTGCACAGAGAAGCCCTGTCTCTAAACACAAAACAAACAAACAAAAAAAAAAAAAAAAAGGAAAGAAAAGAAAAGAAAGAAGGAAGGAAGGAAAAGAACAAGTCCCCCACAGGTATACCCAGCTACCAAGCTGACAAGCAAGAACCACCACCACAATTTCCCACCAGCTCTTTCTCCAGACAGCCACAGGCGGTGCACACCGCCTTTCAGAACAGGATGTAGATGGTGGTCTAAGGTGTAAAGCCATTTCCTGCACGGCTACCCCTGGGCCGTGGCCCTTCCAGGCAAGCTCAGTGACTACAGGCTGTGGCATGCTGGGTGCAGCTCTGGGCCCCACTCCATTCAAGGGGAGAGCCTGTGATGACCAGGAGGACCCGTCTCCTCTCACCCCTCAGGGGGAACTGAACATCTGGGCTGCCTGCCAGCCCCACTTCATCACCCCTGCCTGGCCATTTCCATGCTCTCCTGAGGGCTGACTGGTTACCTCAGGCTTGACTTCTGCAGCCTGAGGACCTGAGTTCCAGGAGCCCTCCTGAGTACGTGACTCAGTTCCAGCCTAGTTTTAAGACAGGCTCAAGGGCCTCCCCTCCCCATTTCACCCACCCAGGCAAAAGCCACCTGCTGCCTGCCATATTGGTCAAGCTGGAGAGAACAGAAATATGAGATTAGACAAGAGCTGATGGTGGCCCTCGCTCTGGCTTCAAGGTCAGGGCTCCAGGTCTGGAGATGGAGCGAGTTCCTTGTGTGCTAACAACAGAGAATAAACAAGTGCAAAGCAACACCCAGTTCTGGGTAACTCTGGAGCCAGGACCTGCTTTAAGTAGGCCACACCCCAGAATCTGTAGCTACCTGCCCTCAGCCCGTGACACCTGCTGCTCGCCTAGCTTTCCCAGCATCCCCAGGCCCTGTATCACCCTATCCTCATGCAGGCCTGTGAAGGATCTTCTGACAACACAGCTTCCTTCATTAGAGCGTACCAAAACAGCTGGGCATGGGGGTGCGCCCCTGTAGTGCCTACTACCCAGGCTTCAGCAGGGCTCCAGAGCGACTCACTATAGATCTGCTGTCTCGGGCCCTCCTGCCCCTGCCTGCCTTTTTTGTTGTTGTTGTTTTGGGGTTTTTTTTTTTGCACTGTGTTTAGAACATACATTCCTAATGACACACACACACAGTATGGCAGAGGACAGAAGGAAGGACAAATATGGCCCTTTCGTTCTGATTAGCCAATAGACACATCTCTCTCCAAAACACCGTCCCTTGGCACCTCTAGGAGAACAATCCAGTCAGCTCTTCCAGAGTCAACCATGGTAAAAGGGAAAACTGAGTTCACTGAGCAAAGGAAGGCAGGCCCTCGGAGTGGCACGAAGGGGGAACAGGATTAGGTTAGGCCCGGAGGAAGTACTCCTGTGGGCACCAGCAGGAACCAGCCAAAGGATGAAGTGAGAGAGCCAGAGGCTGCTGTGGGCAGAGACGTGGGCAGAGACGTGGCTGGAGACATGGACGGAGACGTGGCTGACCTCCCACAGTCACCAGCTTCCACCCCAGCTCTGCTGTGCATCCCTAGCACAGCCTAGCACAGCTCACTTCAAAAGCTTCCCTGCATGGGAGTCCTCACCGGGGCAGAAGGCAGGACCTGTCTGTCTGTGGACACCCCTCCCTCAAAGGACCACAAAGGGATAGTTTTTATGCCTGGCATCGCCTCTAGGCTCCCTCTTTCATGCTGCAGTGCCTGCCTCCTCATGTTAGTGAGATCAAGACCAGGGGAGCCAGGGGCTCCTAAGCACGACACCAGCAGAGCCATGGAGTCAAGTCTAAGTTTGTTTTGCCCAGGTGAGAGAGGTGCTTCTCTAAGCATTCTGTGCTCACACCCTGGGCTTCACTGGCTTGGCTTCCTGAGACACCGCCTCCTAAACAGGATATTAAAAAAAAAGGCTTATTTTATTTTATATTTTTAAATGTGGGTGTGCCCAATTGTAGGTACCTATGGAAGTCAGGAAAGGGTGCTGAATCCCTTGGAACTAAAAGTATGGGTACTTGTAAGCCAACCTGATGTGGGGTGATGGGAACTGAACTCTGGTCTTCTGGAAGAGAAGTATCTGATCTTAATCCCTCATCAATTTCTTTCTTTCTTTCTTCTTTCCTTTTTGAGACAGGTCTCCCACTGTAACTCAGGCTAGCTTGGGACTGGAACTCACTATGTAGCCCCAAGCTAGCCTCAAACTGGTGATTATCTTCCTGCCTGGGGCTCCTGAATGCTGATTTCCATGCCTGGACCACACCTGGCTCCTTATCCAGGCACCTCTGTTTTGATGTCCAGGTGTAGTTCCATGCCCCCCCAGGGGGGGTCTCAGAACCAACTCAGTATTTAGGGTCACTCAGATCCAGCCCACATCAAACAAGAGAAGCTGAGTGAGGGTTCTCAAACTTTTGATATAAATAGCAGACCCAAGGTAGGCGTTAATGTTGGAGGCCTTTATACACCCTACCCCACATCTCTGATTCTGCAGGACCCAACTGGGTTCTGTAATCTGCATTTTCTTTTCAGACAAGGGGCTTGCTGTTACCCAATTAACCTTGAACTCCTGGACTCCAGGCAATCCCTCTACCTCAGCCTTCCTGAGTGTGGCTGGAACTACCACCATGTTGCCAGAGTTCAGGTCATAGTAATCTACATTTTAACCTGTTCCCATAGGGTTGTGCTTTCAACTGCTGAGGGCAGGAGGCCCACCATGCACGCCACCTCTCAGGAGGGCTCAAGAAAGGGTGAGAACCTTGTATACATTTCGACCTACCACTGTGCAAGCTGGTGTCAAGGCAGGTTAGATGCTCATATCTGCCCGGGTGTGGAGCAGGAAACTGCCTAGCACACTTCCAGACCCCCCAGGACAGGCCTGCGGGTGGTAACGGCGCACATTGGACTCTGCACTTACTGCTCTCCCTCCCTTCACCTTCCACAGGCCCCTCACCCTTAGCAAATGCAAAGGAGAAGCAAGGAGCCCGTGATTCACATCTGTTTCCCCTTAAGACACCCACACCCGCTTGCTTCAAGACCCGCCCAGCACAACCCAGGACAAGAACTAACAGATTTAAACATTTATGGAACTTCCTGCTCGGGTCATGTGGCACAAGAGATACTTGGAGTGTGTCCTGGGTGAGCTGCCATGTATTTGGGGCTCTGCCAGGGGCAAGCCCAAAGGGCTTCCCCTGAGTAGGCAACTCAAGCTGGGGGCATTTGACTGCTCAGCACTGTGGGGGAAAAGTTCAAAAGGCCATAAAGTACTCTATGGGAGGCAAGAGACAAGACCAGACCCAACAGAATGGAGAGAAGAGAGGCTGTGTAGAAATCCCTGGTTGCAGTGCTCCTGAGGGGATATATGCAGCCTCCCAGTCAGATGCCAAGGGCAGTGGATGTGGAACCCCCCCCCACCACACACAAAAGCAGGGGCTTCCTGTCCCATCTGGGACCCAAGATCCTACACACAAGGGACCATCAGGCTCATCACGTCTATCTATTACAAGGGCTTGTGGGAGTTTTCTGCATACTGCGGGCAGGACCTCTTCTCCGCATCTCTACAGCACTGGGACCACACGCAGCCCCGGGAGACAGGCGGATGGCATGGTGAACATCAATGCCACTCATCCCACATGTAGCCTCCTGAACCAGACCCTCATCACCGCGGGCCACCACTCCTCACCTACAGCATGCAGGCGACAGCACCTGTCCTCTGGATAGTGCCAGGATTAAAGTATAATTATTTAATTGGCGTTGTCTGGCACCAAGTCGGAGCTCTGTGAGTTCTTCCCTTTCTCTCCCTACTCTTGTGACTCAGTTTCCTCGTCTAGGTTCCAAATCTAAAGAGATCCAAAGCTCACTTCAGAAATGCCGAGGGCCCAGGCACCAACAGACATCAAACAACTTTAAATTTATTAGCTACAACTGGGAGCCATGTCCCTTGCTAACTGGCTCGCTACCCTGAATCCTGTTTTCTCAGGGTGGAAAAAGGAGAAAGTGGTTTAAGCGTATTTGGAGAAAGGACCTCTCGAGCTGCTGGGCACTGTGGCTGTATACAAATAAGGTTACACAATGGCTAGAGGCTCTAAGACTGCTTGTCAGTGTCCAGTGAAGCAGCAAGCACAGTAGCTCTTTAAAATGTCTGGGAGTAATCTGAGTCACCACGGAACTAGTAGGGACCAATGCTCCTAGAGTTCCCCACCAGAGCGAAGTGGCACTTTCCCCTTAAATCTGACTCGCCGCCTCAGTTATAGAAGAGGCGCATTCTAAAGCTGGATAGTTAGTACTGTGTCCCTTATAAACAGTACCAATTCCCAGAATCCAAAGTTGCCTTGCTCTTAGTTGAAGTTTCTCGGTGCCCATTACGCACAAGACCGCGAAAGGCAGCTGCTGTTGATTCCCTTGCCGAGCTAAGAGGGCTAGGAAGGTGTATCTTTCGCCACGAGGGTGGAGATGCAAACACCAAACCTTCCCGAGCTTGAGCTTCCTGAGTCCGTGCCGGGTACCCTCGCCAGGAGCGCACTTCCCCGAGACCCTAAGGGTGTCCTTATTTAGATCCCCTAAGCTGGGAGCGACTGGAGCATCCCTGACGCCTAAGAGACGCCTTGCTGGTGGCCTGTTCTGCTGCCCCAGGACGGTCTCAACAACCCGCCGTGGAACAAGCGTCGCGGGAGGTAGCTGGCATCTTCCACGCCAGAACCTCTCTTAGCGTACTCTTAATCTGGCCCATCTGAGGTAGAACCGTTGGCCTGGAGAGGGCGCCCCTCGGTAGAATCTAAACCGGCCCGGGCTGGAAAGATTTGTCTCACCTGAGCGGGACGCGAATGGCCAGATACCTGTCGACGGCCACGGCCAAGAGGCTGAAGATGGAGCTCTGCGTGAGCACCAACACGAAACAGGCGAGGAAGAGGCAGCTGTGGAAGTCCGTACAGAAGCCCAATCTGATGGTGATAGCGAAGGGGATGGCGAAGAGTCCCACGGCCACGTCGGCCGCCGCCAGAGACACCAGGAAATAGTTGGTGGGGGTCTGCAAAGCACTCGAGGCGCCCACCGCGGCGCACACCAGCACGTTGCCCGCCACCGCCAGAGCGGCGATGACCAACTCCAGTGCCACGTACAGCGCGTCCTGCGTCTCCAGCGGCATGGCCGGGCCAGCCGGGCCCGGGGTGTCGTCTACCAGGGTTGCGCTGGTCTCAGGACAGTCGCTAGGGCGCCGCCAGGCATGGCCACAGCGCCTAGACCGCGCGTCCCGAGCCGGGTCTGCGCCTCCCAGCCCGTGCGCTCGGGACGGGTCCGGGGGCGTGGCCTGTGTGTGGGCGGCGCCCATTGGCTGCCTGCCAGGAGCCCTTCTTGGCCCCGCCCTTTTCCCCGTGGTCTGTGCGCCACCTCCCACCAAGTCCGGCGCCCCAGCGACTTGCCCTGTGCAGACTCCCCTGCTGGACGTGCAGACCCTGCTACACCAGAGCTGCGACCCCCACCCCAGGTTGGCCCCGGGCTTCCTCTCAGCATTGCACTCCCCTCGCGGTCCCTTGTCCACCAATCACCAAGGCCACCGCTGCCCGCCGAGGGTGCTCGCCGCTTTCCAGATTCTGCCTCCCTCTGCTGAGCGCCCACACCTGCTAGTGACCCATCCTTTCTCCCACGTGCAAGAAACCCCCAGGGCCGGCCTGCTCCCCCATAGCTCGTTCCTGGAGGGCTCTGGCTGCTCCTCTGAGTCTGGAGTCTTCAATCCTAGAACACTGCCCGGCTGTGCCTTTTGCCCCAGGAAGCCGCTATCTGTAGTCACCAGCCAGAATGGTTAAGGAGATTGTCAACGCGACAAAGATGACTGGAAACATTGTTAAGCCGAACCCAAACACGGCGACAGTTAAACAACTTCTTTGTGTGTGGGGGGATAATGGAACTTTTTGATTTTTTTGGTTTTGTTTTGTTTTGTTTTTCCGAGACAGGGTTTCTCTGTGTAGCTTTGGGGCCTGTCTTAGAACTGGCTCTGTAGACCAGGCTGGCCTCGAACTCACAGAGATCCACCTGCCTCTGCCTCCCGAGTGCTGGGGTTAAAGACTGTGCCACCACTGCCGGGTGGAATTTTTTAATGTGAAGGCTAAACTCGCTTTCTTTTTGTATGTCTTTGTAAAGGAGGGGGGAACAGGTACGTTGAACTGCACCTTTTATATGGCTGGATTGTATGGTCTATAAATTACATTTCAGGGTTAGCTGTGATAGTAACAGCAAATTCCCCATGGGCCCACACATATGAACGGCATTGTCTACCAGGATCCTAACATAGAAAAGAAAGTCACCAAAGAACAGAGTCCACATTCTATTTTTTTATTTGACACTTTAAATTTTGTGTCATCTTATTTATTTATATTGTTTTTATTGAGCTATACATTTTCTCCATTCCTCTTCTCTCTCCCGTGACCCCCACGCTCCCAATTTACAGAGCCCACATCCTAACTGGTTAGTTTGAAGATTTTTTTTCTGCTTTCCATGTTGAGAAAAATCTTTTTAAAAATACCTTATGTAGCTGGGCGGTGGTGGCGCACGTTAATCCCAGCACTCAGGAGGCAGAGGCAGGTGGATATCTGTGAGTTCGAGACCAGCCTGGTCTACAAGAGCTAGTTCCAGGACAGGCTCCAAAACCACAGAGAAACCCTGTCTCGAAAAACCAAAAAAAAAAAAAAAACTTATGTATTTGTATATGTTTTCTCCAAAATATTGACAGATCCACAGGTCCTGTGCGCTGGTCATCTGAGTTTTGGTAGCATCTGCTCCTTCTCCCCATAGAACCTGACACTGGCTTCTGCCTCTTGACACAGTTGGCAAGCTGGGACCTCAGAGCGGGCAGATAATGGGTACAGTGCTTAATATGGCAGGAGGGATGAGACTTCCTGGTGTGGTGGCCTTTGCATAGTGGGACTTTGGGCAGTATGGGACAGGGAGGCAAATGAGGCAGAGGTGGGGGAAGGCCAGCCACCAGGAGAGTGGAGGCTAGAAGGCCTGAATGGAGAAGGCTTTGCCCACCAGGATGGAGTGCTGGAGGAGCTGTGGTGCCAGCCCTCGGTGCAGGGAGCAGAACATTAGGAACAGAGAGAGGGCTGGCAGAGCCAAATGGAGGCCTGCTTCTCCTGTGAGCGGCTCCGGTGTGCCTAACCATGGGCATCAAGTCGAGCAGCATTGTCTGTACCTGGATGTCCATCTTCCCTACAGACCTCCCCAGAATCAGCCGAATAGGAGCCTACTCTCTCTGTCTGCTGGGGTCACCAGTCACCCACCCACCAGCAGAGCTTCCCTCACTCTTTGTCCTCTTTTCCCGCCCCTAAGTCCCTATCCTGAAGTGTCCCTTGGTTCACCATCCATCTCTACCTTTCTATAAGGTTCACTGAAAATGAATTTCTGATTTAGGAGGGAATGAAGTCAGGAAGGCGCTGTGGGATTGCTTCTTGAGAGGAATGGAATTCTATGAGAGACCCTGTCTCAAAATAAAGTAGAGAGTAACAGAAAGCACCCGCATCAACCTGTGACGTCAGTAAAATCTGTCTCTTTGTTTAATCTTTATTTTTGAGACAAGGTCTATGTAGCCCAGGCTAGACAAAAAATTACTATGTAGCTGAGGAGGACCTTGACCTCCTGATCCTCCTGACTCACCAGAATATGCCACTGCAGTTAGCTGTCTTCCTTTCAGAACACTTAGTGTCTTTGAAGAAATTGACAAATGAATTTTGAAATGTTTATGTAAATGTAAGGGACTGAGAGCAGCCAAACTAATCTTGTTAAAAAGGAAGAAGAAAAAAATCAGGGGGCCAAGAAGATGGCTCAGCGGGTAAAGGCACTTGCTGCATAGCCTGACGAACCGAATTCAAACCCCAGAATCCACATCAAGATGGAAAGAGAACCTGACTCCACGAAGTTGTCCTGTGAACTCAACATGCACACTGCGGCATGTCCTAAATAACACACACACACACACACACACACTAATGGCAACCTACAAAACAGGATATATTCTCTCCAAATCACACATCTGATGAATCTAGTATCCCGCATATGTTAAGAACTCTTACAAATCAATAACAAAAGGATAAATGTTTAAAATGGACCAAGGATCTAAATACACACTTCCTAAGAACAGATAAACAAAAATCACACCACCGACAGATGACCTGGCCCAGAGTGAGTGGGTGCCCCCATCTCCAGGAGCCACCACCACAGCTGGCGAGTGGCAAAGCAGGTTGTAAGCTGGATCCATTTAGATTCTAGCCTTGCCTCCTGCCCATACCCGCATCAAACCAGCTCCAGTTCCAGGTGTTCCTGGCTCTGCTGTGGAGAAGGGGTGCTGTTACGAGTTGCTGTCAGTGTTCTTTTAGGATATCCCTCTCACTTCTCCCAAAGGGATTCTGGGGAGCAATGAGGGTCTCAGACTTCTGGAATGGGGGTGACAGCTCTGGAATAATCTTTCTGTACACTGTGTGACTATATGTCTCTATGATTGGTTTAATAAACAAGCTGACAGGCCAATAGTTGAACAGGATAAAGTTAGGCAAGAGAGCCAAACTGAGAATGATGGGACAAAGAAAGGCAGAGCCAAAAGGGTCACCAGCCAGCCAGCCAGAACATGTTGGACATAGAAAATGGGATGGAGGTAAGCCTCAGGGAAGCATATAAATTAATAGAAATGGGTTGAGTTGTAAGAGCTAGTTAGAAACAAGCCCAACTATTGGTCCAGCATTTATAATTAATATTAAGCCTCTGAGTGATTATTTGGGAGCACACGGTTGGGACAGGAAGACTCCCCCTACAGGTGACCTCAAGTGCAGGCCCTTGTTAGAGGCCAGTGATAAAATTACTAGTCCCCGGGAGATATTCCTGGATGAGATACATAGAAATTGAATTTGGGTGCCCAGCTTTCTTCTCTCTTGATTCTTGTGTTATCTGAAATTGTACAGAAGTCTGCCTTCTGCTGGGGGTAGCGGAGTGGGCCTGGCAGACATCTCCTGCCCAGCTGCTGAAACTTCATCACATAGAGAAGAAATGAGTTGGCCTCTACAGCCACCTTTTAGGCCCGGGCAGGCTGACTACTCTCTCCGGCCACTTGTGAGTCTCTTACCCAGCCAGTTTCTTCTCTGGGAAGCTAGTTTAATTCTATCAAATGTGTGAGCTACAAGTCCAGGGCCACCATGCCCTGTGTTCAGAGACTTCTGTTCCTCTGTGAAATACCATACTTGCTCCTTCAGGTAACTTCATAGACCTCGGGTAGAAAATGCCATTTTTCAGCAATGTGCTTTGCAAAAACACATCAGCTGGGGATGTGAAGGAGCCCCGAAAAGATTTTAGAAAGAAATAATCAGTTTGTAGCAACATCTAAATTGCTTCTAGTTCACAACCTATGCCTGTAGCTCCCGTGAGAAATGCAGATCATTGCCTCCTGCAGACTGCTCAGTGCTCTCTTCACCAAGAACAAGAGCTGCATTGGCACCAGCTGAGTCTCTCGGCAGTCATCTGCCCTTCTGGGCTGAATCACACTTGGCCCAAACCAATCAGACAACCCCTTTTCTGTTTGCCAGTAGTCCAACTAATTCTGACCTGTGGGATGTAAGGAGGATTGTGCAGCGAGGTTTGGGGCGCTCTCCCTTCTTTCCGGACACTGTGATGTGAAAAACAGCTCCATGGCAGCCACGTCACAACCAAGAGGTGTGAGGAAAGATGGAGGATCAGCCTTTGGCTTTAAACAACACGACCTACCCTCAGAAACACCCCCTGGACTTTTTTCAGTAGGACTACAAGCATCCTATGGAATGAGCAGCTATCCACCCATGTTTTCCAGGACTAGAGAGGCGTCATGGATTCAGAGCTGAAACATTCTGGGCCAGGGGAATCTTGGGTCTTGCCTTATCCATCTGGACAGAATCTTTTAGAAGAGATCGAAGGTTGTGCCGGGGCTCGGGAAGCTAAGAGCCATCAGGGGACTTCCCAATCAGGGTCCCTCCCACCATGCCTTGTCCTGTCCCTTCCAGAGCAGTGGTGAGATTTCTGCAGAAATTCCTGACCCTGAGTAATCTGCCAGGAGAGGAGCTTGGCAGGCCCCCATCTTCTGACTCAGACCCCATTAACCAGAGGTGACTATGCCCAGATAACGGGGAGACATGATGACTGACAACAGGCCAACTGTTGTCACACTGCTGTCCTCTTTTGTTCCTGCAGAGAAGCACAAACTGTCGACTGCCCTGCAGATCGAACCAGCTTTGTTCTAAGTCCCTCC